ATAGCGGTCAGTAGTCTAAAGATTGGGTCACCGTTAGCGGCGTCCAAAAACGCCGTCAGCGATCTTGTAAGGTCTGCGCGCTCTTGCGTACAGACAAGAGGTAGTCGTTTGCAACGCCTTATTATTGCGTGCGCTGCTCTATCGGCAGTGCAAAGTGCTGGTTTTGCAACAGGATTCGCCGAGACTACAAGGAAGTTGCCATAACCTGTTTTGAGATCTGGCACGACGACTTTCAGGCCGGCCAAGTGACCCCCACCTCCAACTTAGAAACGTGAGTTGTGCTGCGTCGACCGGGCCAAAGTGCTGGAAGCGCAAGAAAACGAAGCGGCGGGAACGCCATCTTCGCCTTGATCAAGGCAGCAACAGCAGAAACAGTGGCGACGATGATAATGATGGCAACGATGATTAGTTTAGGCTGCGTATCAATTGATGAGTGGTTAGTTTCGTGTGGTTAAATGCAACATTTCTTGAGCTGACGTACCTTCTTCCTTGCGCTTTCTGAAATGAAAGCCCTGGCATTGCATCATCTTAGCCATCTGTTGAATGGATTAGTAGATGGTTACGACATTTCTTGGCCTCTGTTGCTTCTCAATGTCGTATGAGCTACGGCATTGAATCGGAAACCTGCTGAAAGCTTATATGCCAATCTCGATAGCAAACACATGGTCAATACAAACACCAAGAGCATATGAATGGTGTATTTTACGACATACGCTTACATGTCTTTGGCGAATGCCGTTCGGAGCCAGTGTGTTAAGAAAAGGCAAACGTAAGAAATGAGCGCCCATAATTCGACTCTAAACAGGGCGTCTGTTTAGCCACTTACTTTTTTCTTGTCCAGTTAACATGGTTAAGCACTTTGAACCAACCGCCTAGATGGCGTCACAATTGCTGGCACAACGTCAGCTTCCTGTGTTGCAAGAACATGTATAAAGTACTGTGTCAGTTACGTGTACAATACAATTTGTATTTAATCTTCTTTTCTATTGGATGTATGTTTTTTGTCGAAGCGATTTGATTTTCATCTTTACAGCCGAGGAAACTGGCAACCCCGCTTAAATGAGGACATTTTTCAACGCATGGTCATTTGTGACCCAAAGTAGGCAGCGCATTTTAGGAGTGTTTTTATTGATAAATAGGACATATCGCTGAAAAGTAATGCAGACTCAAATTTAGGCCTGCCAAAAGTGGCACGTAACTGGCACAATACAGTAGCTGATACGGAACTTTAAGGACAAGGAAAACTAGTAATTAATTTGATGTCAGTAAACAGCAACCAGCAGCGTTAATATAATTCATCCTGCATCGAGAGCACATACGATTTGTATGTGTTCTCTATGCAGTCGAAGTCGGTACTGAAATATTATGTACCAAAACCTGTAACTAGTCCAATTAAGATTTAGTCTGTCACAGGCCCACCAACAAGTATATTGCCGAAAATACAAAACGACAGTAATCCATCTAAACGCTATCATGTTATTCAATATTTTAAGTGTTTTGGAGAATGCGATGCTCCATTGCATTTTCACAAGTATTCCTGACATAGAGTCGAAATTAGTGGAGGTCTACACGTGTATACATGTAATTGGGGCTGCACGTAGGCGAAGAAGCGTTGAATGACCTGGTGTTTCACAGTCTAGCAAATGATTACTTATCCATGAGTCCAGGAGAAACTTTCTTACTTAAATCCATATAGGTAGACGATTTCAGTATGATAGGCCTGGGTGCCTCCACACTAGACCTGGAAACGCACAGCAAAGTACATCTGCATGTTATGCTTCTGTAAGCCGGCATGCTTCCTCACCTGGTGCATTATACGGATTTTAATAGCTCAAACACGATGTGCTGCTATGCCTGATAGAGAAGTCGTCCACGGGTTAAATCAGGTGTGAAAGGTCTTACTCAATTATGCATTTCTGTGTCTCGCAAGCCGTTCTCAGCAGTGTTTTTGCATTTTATGTCCTGTTATTGTAGGGACCAATGTATTTCTGAAAAACGGTTTGTACTTTCCACCGTCGAGACTACGTGGGGACTCTTACGCCGACCGTTTTCAAGTAGTCAGTGTACATTTCCAATGTCTTAGCCGTCAGGGCATCGTCGGCATCTGGCATTTCTTTCAGTATCTTGGCCAGGTCGTCGGGACTCTTGTTCGCATCGTCAGCCTGCTTAAACAGATTATTCAGCTTGTTTTCTATAACAGTCGAAATCCTCTTGAGCTCCCCCAAGTCGTCAATTTTCTCGAGATCCGAAAACGACTCCTGCTTTATCATCTTGTTAACAAAGCTGTTAGTCATCGCTAGCTTAACAAGCTCCAGAAAGTTTCTCTCTTCGTTGTCATCTTCGTCGATGTTGCCGCCTCTGAGAAACCGGGACTGGTCGCTTACACTTTGGTCAGCGCCAACGAAGTGAATGAAGCCCAGTGACAGTACACCAGTTAGCGCAACATCATTAGCGAAGTATGGGGTAGAGATGACGTGGCGGGCGAATAGAATCGACGCAGCGGCCAGCAAGACGTAAGTTAGGCGCATTGCTGGTGTCTGGATGCTTTAGGTGTCGAAAGCGAGTCAAATTGCGAAGTGAGAATTGGCATCCAAACCACACAACAAACGTGTGGTCAGAATTCCTATAACACAGTGGTTTGGGATGTGTATTATCTGTCGATGGTGAGAAAAAGAGCAATTCAGAAAGAGGTATGTTGTTTATAAAGAATGTTGTATGGTGGTCGTATTGTACCTTGACAAATAGAGTGCAAAAACAATTATACATCCGGGTAATTAGGATTCCCTCTCTTCAGTCAAAAGGGACCGTTTTGAAAATACCGTCTGCGGACATGCCTGCAGATTAGGCTAGGATTACGAAATCCAAATGGTTATACTTAATTCTTGTAAGGGCATCAAGATTAAAGGTAATCTCTTATAACAACATATTAATACATCCGCTTTGATAGGGCATAATTTCCTTCATTTAAGAAGGAGTACCTTTGAGCGCTTCAAAAGGTATTTGTCTCTTTTCTGAACGCAGTTCCCTGCGGGCATGCCTGCTAATCCAAAAAGTTTTCTGCGACCCGTAGTAATCACAAATAGTTCAGGAAAGATTACCAGGATATTAGAAATATGTAGTTTTAACCGTACCGGGCGACGTCCAACCACCTCATTTCTCATTCCACAATTTATCCACCAGTCCACAAGAAAAATTCCGGCCATGCGTCTTGTCAACTTCACTGTTGCGGTTCTCGCGACTATCCTCATTGCAAGTGGCGCAGCAGTGTCAAAGACCGATCAGACCTCACGTGTTCTCGCCCGGAATGACAAGCGGTTTCTCCGAATCTACCAAGCGATGGATAGCAAAAACAAAATTACGTGATACGACAATGAAGAGAGGAATCTTAACTTATTCAGCGCATTGAAACTGTCTGATATGCAGCACGATGAAATTTTTCGATTCCTCATGTTTGGAAAATGGAAAAGCCGTGGATACTCCGCGGATGACATCGCAGAGCACATTCCGGCGAGTCTCCTCGAGAAATATCAAGCGTACAGGAGTATCCATGGCTAAGAGGCGGTTTCAAGCTACCAGAGCTTAAAGCTCGGCCACAACGTCACTCGAATGAGGTCGCGATACTGGCACTCGCCTTGATGCTATCAAAAATATGTCTCGGGCGCAGTAATGCAGAAGACAAACTTTACTCAAATAAAACTCGTGTATGGTTCGTTAGACGTTCTTTCAAACGACCACTGCATTTCTTATCCCATTTCAACGGAGGCCCACCCATTCTTAAAAAAGGTAATTTGTACGTAGTAATAATTTATCCTGGACGCTCGGACGCTGATCTGGAGAGTGTGGCCGTTTTACAAAGCTCCATTTAGTTGAGTGTTTTTGCGCCAGGTTTGAGAGAAACTACAGACAACGACGGAGAAATCCAACAGACACAAAAATCCGACTAGTGATTGTGAGCACACCGCTTTCCCATAGGGATATTTACCTCCAGACTCCACAACGAACTCCACAACGAACGCACACTCTCCCATTGGCTAAAATACGTCCGTTTCAAAAGTTGTTTTTAGGAAGATAGGAGTACGTAGCTAGGCACAACATACAGGAATTCGCGCTGGAGAAGTAAAATGCCGATTGACTTATTGGGAGAGTATGGCTAGAGCGATATTTCCCTTCACATTGCTTTCGCAAATGCTGATATTGCTGGGAAATTAATCAATGACTTTGCACTGAATACAAACAAGTCTGTACGGCTCGAGAACAACCATGGAAACTACAGGAAATGGGTTTGTTCTGCGAGGTGCTGTCAGTGCTTCGTTGTCTTATCACGGAAACGAGTGAGATTAGAAACGAAGAGTAAACGTAAGCGACCGGTGACCAAGCTCAGCTTTGTTCCAGACAACTTTTGGTACACTTCGAAATTGAATCTTCAACATGCTCAATGCTGTTGTAGCACGGCCAACCCAAATAGAGGTCAAATCGAGCGCTTGGACGGATTTCGAGCGGCCATTTTGGAGGGCCATAGTTCGTCAAAGACTCGAGTTATCAACAATTTGGAGTCTGTCGAGCACAGCAATGTTTCGAAGAAACATTCTGTGCTTTACCGAGCTATCAGCTCTGCTTTCAGTTGGTTGGAAAGCGATACAAACGAAGAATTCAAGGCGCTCCCAGCATACATGGCGTTGTTCGCAGAACAAAACGAAGGTTCGCGTGTGTGTTGCCAGCTCGATGATTCGGGTCGTTTCTATCGTTCTTTTTTTCAATTGGTCCAACTTTGAAAGTTCAGGACTCACTTCTTCCTGTGTGGGAGTGTGACGGAACCCACATGAAACACGAAAAGTATAATGGCGTTTGTTTGACACTAGTTGGAAAGGACGGCAACAAGAGAATTATACCTGTTGCTGTCGCGTACGTTCACAAAGAGACCATTAAAAAATTTGTTTGGTTTTTTGCAAACTGCATTGCAGCAGGAGTATTGCTACATGACCGACCGACCTTCTCGGATCATGGGGAACAACTTGGCGCTCAGGAAGAGCTCCAACGGTTAGGCTTACACGTGCATCTCAAGTTTTGTGCAGTTCACATTCGGTTTAACACCGTCGACAAATTCAAGAAGGTCGATGTAAAAAAAGACAATGTCAATCAGCACATAATGCGCTTGCAATCGGCTCGCACAGTACGTGAATATGAGCGGAACATCGAAACTTTGAAGGAGATGTTTCCGGTTGGAATACCGTCCGGTAGTGGTGGAAAACCCACGGAGGAATTTGTGTGGACGTACCTGCAGGAGATTCACCCGACTAGCTGGACAGTCTTGGGCAACAGTGATTTGAGCGATGGTGAAACTGCGTGGCTCAAGGAGAATTGGAAAGATACGTCTTCTTATGGATTCGGCCTTCCTCTTTTTGGTGTGCGTTCAACCAGCGGAGTAGAAGGTGATAACAACGGCTTATCTTTCAAGCGAGCCCGCAACAACCTTGTGTTTAAAGCTTTGAGAGCTTACTGCTTGCGAGCTGTAGAGAATCACCATGCTTTGTTAGAGACTGCACAAAGTTGGGTTGCTGAGCAATTTGACATCACACCACATGCTCAGAAGCTATTTGACGCCGAACAGAAGCATGTTGCGAAGCTTACAGTGTTGCCGTCTCAAATCGGCTGCTTTTATGTATTCGACCCATTTGACCGCAGCGATGTTGCTTCAGCGACGAAAATGTTTGAGACGAACATGATTTCGGGAAAGTGTCGGCCGTGCCGCGTTTCGGAACAATTAGAAATTCCGTGTCGCCATATCCAGGCTATTCTCTTTGACTTGGAGAGACGCAATCCTGGCAAGATTCCTGTGCTACAGTATTTTCACCCAGCATATTTAGTCCGCAACATGCGTGTTGCAATGTGTGCGGTGAAGATTAACTTGCCCGTTAATGAAATGACGACCGCAAGTAGTTGTGTGTTACCAGCACCACGTTACCGCCAAGCTGGAGGAACGCGCAGAGCTAGAGTTGGTGACCACAGCGGGGTGAAAAGCGGATTTTTAGTAGGGGCGAAGAGGCCAAGCTGCCGTCCACGAAGCAGCAATGGACAGATGCGATAGTTGAAGAAGGGTACGATGAACACGATGCTACTCCTACCATTTACAAGTTTTCGCATCCAACATCACGTCTGCGAGCACACCAGACAGGTGCATACTACTGCACGAAGTGCAACAAGCCTGGTCACAACGCAAGAACATGCAGATTTACAAGCCAGGAAGTCAAAGAAGCAGGAGTATTGATTGTCCCTGGTGTGTACGTGCTTGGGGAGTCACCGCTCGGAAGCTTGCGGATTGTCGCCAACGGTGTTGAGCACGATGGATAGCGAGTTCTTGTGATATCATGCTGGATATCATAGGTAAGGAACGTTTTACAACACGGAGTCGTATAAGATGAGGCTAACCAGTGCAAAATAATGCTAACGATACCTTGTTGACTCTTGCCAGGTCTTCTTTAGGAATATTCGCTGCGGATATACACGTCGGAGAATTAAAAGAAGCAAAACCAAGAATCATTGCCAGCTGAATTACCAAACTTTTATACCTTTTCATCCAGACGTCAAGCACCACCTTCCTACCTCGTTGAAGATCGGCATCTCCTCCCTCAACTTTAAACGGCACGAGGCTTTGTTACCACACCATTGACCGCCAACTCATGGGTGCCAGCGGAGATGACGAGCTCTCGAGCAGATAGATTCAACAATGGCAGAAAACAAAACTCAATAACCTCGTCTCATATTCTCTTTCCGTTACCATAACCACAACAAGGTTGATCACCTTCAACTCATGACTATCAGTAGCAGGGATCAGGGGCAAACATTTACGGAGACAGCCTTCTCGGCAAGCATGATGGTCAGTGTAATCCAAGAGCAAGCGATAAAGAGCTCTCTGCGTCTGACGTACAAACCGATTCGAGGCGTTTATGGAAGATACTCCTCATGTTAAAGTCACTGCAGATATGCTGCGGCTTGCCCACTTTCCATCCAGTGTAAACGTATTTCCGATTCACAAGGTACGACACAACTGCGTATAAGTCCAGCACATTCATAATTAACCTTAGCGCAGAATTAAATGCAATCAGTACTACGTACTCTGTCTTGACTGATGCGGTGGACCCACGAAGAATCGTCGCCTTGATGGTGCAGCGCAGGAGCAGCACACCCCATATTCCCAGCTCATAGCACTCCCAACACATTAGACTAGGTCGACTCGCCCCACTGCACGCGACTCCAGTCCGGATGCGCCAGGACACAGCGTCATATCTTCACACGCTCCAGCAGCACGTCCGGGCTCCAGTTGCGGCCGCTATCGGGCGACAAGTCCTCTCCATTGACCTTCACGTCCTGCAGGTCCGTCATGGGCGGCGGCAGGACTTCTGTTCCGAAAAGGGCTGCTGCAGCTGCAACGATGCATGCTGGAACGCGACGACAAGGTCATGTGTACGGTGGTCGGTCTTTTTGTAAATGGCAAGCAACACGTGGGAGAAATGAAACGGACGTATTTTAGCCAATGGGAGAGTGTGCGATCGTTGTGGAGTCTGAGCTGCTTCGTTGTGGAGTCTGGAGGTAAATATCCTTCCCATAGTAACTAGTTTTGTATTTTTACCCAATCATATCTTTATACAAGAAGTTTTTAATCCAATTACTTACAAAAAATGATGAATGGCTGGAGATAATACACTTCTTTGGCGGCGGTAATTATCAAGTCATTTTGCGCGATGAAGCGCGTTGAGCGAAGCTTCACAATGAAGCAAAAGCGCGAGGCCTTGAGGATCGCTAAATGTGGGGGCGTTAAGGCCGCCTCCGAAACATTTAATATTGCAAGACACACCATACGTCAAAGACGTTAAAAGGTCAGGGACGCAAGGAAATTTTTCTGGCGTCTCTGACCTTTTAACATACATGAAGGATATGCAGGGCGCGATTAAATTATGTGGCGTTTTTGCTTTTTTGTAATTTTGGCATAGTTAGATCAAGTCAGAAAGATAGGCGCGGTCGGGAGGATGGGAGGAAACTGTATTAGATAGGCCGAGTGTAGCCATGCGAAATGAAGGTCAAAGCAGGAAGACATGGAGTGTGACGGACGGATTGACATGCGGACAGACAGACACGCTACAAGGTTAGGAGGCGGTAAAAAATCATTCCAGACTTTATTTATTAATCTACTTCCTTTACGTTTCTGAAATTAAGTGAACAAATCTTGACAAATGATGAAGATGTGAAATTTGGACTAAGGCGTAGTGCTGAGCGTAATCAATCCTAGCGTGTAAGCAATTCACTTCGACTGGTTTGAAGCATTCACTGACGTAGTTTTTATTATACAATTGCTGGTGCTTCTTGAGATTGAGTATATTCACGCAGAATGCGAATCTTCTCCGCTGCTTAGGTTGAATTTATGTGGCCAATTTAGTGGGCACAAACGATCGAGGGCCTACAACAGCTGCACGGGGTATTTTGCTTTAGAATTACCTTTAAAATGTGCTGCCGCCCCACGTCTATTTGAGCGATATAGAAACGCAAGTAAGATCGCTACAAAACACGGTGATCTGTTATTGTAAAACAGGCGGCATTGTCGCAGCAATATTATTATAATTGCAACGGAAGAGTGTGAGCATCGTACCACCGATTTCGATAAAACGTGTGGCTACGGGTGACTAAACATTTGTAAGGGTTAAGTTTTTGTGGGCAATTAAAAGACAATAGTGGCACTTAAATGTTACAGATAATATATCGTGTATTAAAACAATTTGTTTTAATTAATTATCAGAGCTCACGTTTTAAAAACAAATTCTCAACTGAGTTGTGGATATACTAATATATATACCTTGAAAAATCTTTTTTTTGTACTTGTGTGTTAACTTTCCACCATTTTTGCTTGTGTCCAAAACCGCCCCGTAAAAAAACCAATGACTGAATTATGGTTGGCACTCGACAATAGTTACGCATATTGTGTCCAGGAGTGCACAGGTAATATAATAGAGCAGTTCTGCATGCACAACAACGTATCCAGCTGCCACGTAACAACAGTTTAGATCCTGATGCGTCATAACACAGGATATGAAAATTGATGGACAGATTCAACTTCTTACACATATTATTTTTGCACTCCACATCCTCTCCTTTCTTCTGCTGCTATGGATCTGGCTGCTTACACGTCTTGATCGTGCAGTCGTGTTTGATGAATAAAAGACATGAACTTAATACTTCAGAATTTAGCGCATCCAGATAACCGTAAACTGTTGTTCCCAATAAATGGGCCACATCCGTACTGACTTAAACCATACACACTCCGGAAAAAAATTAATCATATAAGCTCTATGATACTGAACAAGGTCCCTTGACGGTTTACCGGGGGATGAGTACTGTATTACTTTAAATTGCGGTGGGCGAAGAGCTTTGTGCAGTGAACTTACTAAACTCATCAAGATACAGTAGCTCCGTCTGTGCTAGTATGGAGCTTTAGTTGTTTGTTACCTTGGGAGCAGCAATACTCGGACTAAAATATGAATTTATGACGAATGCAGTTACCAAGGGATGATTAAATACCTAATTGCAGGGACTAACGTTAAAGATGGATAAGACCATATTAACTAGACATGTGTATCAGGAGGAAGTGGGTGCAACACACGAGGGCGGGAAGGCTGTCGTATTTTTTATGAATAAGATGAAATTATGAAGTGCCGCGGATTTCACAGCCAGCACAAGATCACAGCTGTGATCTAGCCTCATGCAGACGCGAAACCCTAGTGGACTTGTCCTTAGACTTCTTTTTTCATCCTACGTAAATATGCCACTATTGCGAATGTTCTTGATGGCCGCTCCAAGAACCGTTGCAAATGTCCCTTGTCGTTGATATATAGCAAAAGGTTTGCTTTGATTATAGAACCAAATGATTTCAAATCCTTAAACAATTGCCCTGTTTGTGAAATTGGCAGGAGAGCGTGTATGATTCTGTGACGGAGTGATTGCAAACGCTGTATGTTAGTAAGCACAAGTGCTCTGGACAAGCCAACTCGATAAACTCCGAGAGCTGCATTTCTCGATTCTCTTGGCATTCCACATCTAACTCACTTTAGCGAACGACCCTCTCGTCTTAGACCCTCCAAAAACTACGGTAAGGATGCGCCTGACATACATCGTAGCGACGATGACTGCGGCCAATCTCCATCTCGGTACCTCTGCGCTTCCTGCTGTCACGGAGGCCAAGCCAATTACCGAGAATGGGGCGTCGGTTGACATTGTTGCGTCAGCCCGTTTGGATGGCGGCAGATTCCTTCGGCGTATCGACAGCGATCAAAATGACAGTGAGGAAGAGAGGGCCATCGGTGACGCTATTCTGGAAGCTGCGACGAAGCTGAACTCCATTGCAAAGTTTAGAAAGATAAGAGAGCGCAAGAAGTTTATCCTCGAAACACGGAAGGAACAGACGTGGCTCGAGAAAATGAGAAACAAGCTCGGGAAGGACTAAGAACTAATCGACGCCGACGGTACGTCAAAGTATACCGCTGCCTCGTTTAGACCAGCAGTCACAACGTGGGTAATCCAGGCATTCTTTAGCGAATAGGGCGTGATATGGCCCCAATTATAAAGGCTACCGTAGCACTTGACCGCAGAATACAGAACAAAGTCTACTTGGTTTGTTCTTTCATTATCGTTCGTGCTAGATTCGACGCCACTCTGCCGTCGACTCTCACGGCTGCGGTAGAATCCAGTCGCCCCCCCCCAAACACACACAATCATACATGGCCGCCGCCACTCTCGTACTAGTAGTATAGTAGTACGCAGTACAGTCGATTCTGTTCGACGAGACAATTATCCAGGGACAGCACTTAACCTAACGAAAAATCTACTTTTTTTTCATTTGTAGAACTTGAACTGGAAGAACGTTCTTTCTTTAATCTTCTAAACATTTTATGTCCTGTTTGATTTCTTTCTTCACAGAAAAATGTGGTGGTTTTCTTTTTTTGAATAAATTCGTGCGTACCCATATGTAAATCAATGGAGCTCTTCGTACCGAAACTATCGTTTGACCTCTTATGACCAATGTCCGGTGATCACAAAAACACAGAAGAATGTTGCATGTGGCCCATTCACCAAGTGAATTGGGTTTAGGAAAACTGGGTAATACTGTACAGATGTCTCTTTAGAATAATACAATGGGTGAATGCCACTAATTCTCTACCAGTTGCTGTTGTCGCTGTACTTCGATGTCTACTCGTCTGGATACATACCACATTATGGGCGGTACGCCTGTGTCCTACAGTTGAAGTGACAAAAATAGTGCGACCTATGCAACCTAATTGATAGATCATTTGGTATCCCGTATTGGGATTGGTCGCCAACTTCAATTGGATCGATGGCGGGATCTACTACGGGAGGCCAATCGTGGCGTGTGGCGTGTACATTGTGTATGAGTGTGTCCGCCCCAGGTTTCGGTTTATATACATATTTGAAAGCAGGTGTGTTCGTCTTAGTGTGTACCGGTCCCAGTATACAATATCTATACGCCAGCTAACGACGATGATAGAAAGGCACTAGGGACTGCATGGAGGAGGCAGCAAGAGAAACTAAAATTTCTAACTCAATCAATCTCACTTTTAAGTTTTCACTCATCGACTCTTACCGACTACAACCCTCGTTGGTTTCATTCTCCACTCTCAATTATGGATGCAGCAATTGGGACGACGGCTCATTCAGATCTCCCTGCTATATTAAACTTCCATACCAGCAATTTCGGTAGCAACGACGCATCCACGATTCTTCTGCAGCTTGTTGCATGGTGGCTTTTACCTCTACGCGTGCGCAGTGTACAACGTACTACGGTTTTCTTGACCAATCCATTATTTCAAGGATACGCTTTAGAATTTACATTTAGTAACAACGTCATCTTAGAACTCGTCTTTGTTATATCCACCATCTTTGTTGGCTTTTGGTGGATATCCTCGCACCCTGGTCCACGCAGTACAGCAACGGCAATTCATAAACCCCCTACAGCTATGATATAATCACTACTCTGTAACTGGCGAATTCAGCTATAGCGAGCTGTAAAAATATTTTTTTTACGACCTGTAAGTATCACGAGCACTTCTTGCGTACCAGTATCTCAGCTCATAGTTTTATTAATACGTATTACTGTTGCAGTTGCACCAGCTCTGCATGATTAGGCGCGACCGTTGGAGCGGTTACTGAACCGTTCCACTATTGGCTGGAACTGCTTCTGGAACGCCATTGGGTAATCACATGCTAGAGCGCTATGATTGGATGAAGGCACATGGCATTAGTGATTACGCCACAATTACGAGAAGGCAACAAGAGGAACAACAGAGAGATAGGGTTTAGAGAGACATGTTGGACAGTTTTGGCTAGCACTAATTTACTCACTTCGGTATCTGCCTCTTACTCAATTAGCCCCAAACCAATATATTCACAGCCGCAGGTACGAATCTACCTGGGAAGCCGAATCTAGAACGCCTGATCTGGAACGCCCAAGAATAGTGACTACGAAGAGAGCTGAAGTCCTCCTAGGCAGTGGAAACTATTTTCACTGGGAGTTTAACATGCGCATGACCTTGGCGAGGAAGGGGCTTCTGGCGCATGTTCAAGTGGTCAAGCCCGAGAGCGAGATAACCGAAGCGTGCCTTGTGAACGACGCGAAAGCCCTCGGCATTATTGCTCAAGGCGTGGAACTCCAGCACCAGACTAAGATTCGGAACGCCCCGCGTGCCATGCAGGCTTGGGGAACGCTTTAAGAATTCTACAACCGGACGACGCTGCACAATCGTGTTACGAGGACACGTCGCCTTCATGAGCTCAAAATGGGGAGTGGAACGCTTATGGCTACGCATCTGGACGCGTTCGACGAGCTAATTGTTGGTCTTCAGACGCTTGGAGAGCCAATGGACGAGGCACGGCAGCTCGTGATACTGCTTAGCAGTCTTCCGGACGAGTACGAGCTTATCGCGTCCGTCGTGGAGAGCGCTAAAGATGTGACGCTTATCGAGGCTAAGGAGAAGCTGCTCAAAGCGTACGAACGCCTCGAGAAGAAGGAGACTACCGCGGAGAAGGCGTTCCAAGCGAACGGGAACGCTAGGCGTTCTAAGGGCGGCCGAGGGAACGGTCGAAAGTGGAACGGTCCGAGATAGAATGGAAGGTATCAAGGCAAGTGCTTCAACTGTGACCACGTGGGCCACATGAAGCGAGACTGTCCCGTTGGGAACGGTGACAGCAATGGTGATGCAGGTTTTCCAGTTGCAGTGGATGAGGAGCGCTCGGCCGGATGGCTGATTGACAGTGGTGCGACGTCGCACATGACTCCTCACAATAAGGACTTTGTAGAGTTCAAGGGCCTGGACACTGGTATTGAGGTGACGATCGCCGACGGCACGAAGTTGCGCGTCGAAGGAACGGGAGCGGTTCAGCTGACTGGTCTGGACGGAAGACGCATTCGAATGGTCGACGTACTGTACATTCCGGGGCTCGACAGACGGTTGAAGTCGGTGGGAAGGCTCGCGGATCGGGGCTTGCGCGTGGAGTTCCACAGCTCCACATGTGTCATACGGAACGCCTGTTGTGCGATCGCCTCAGGAAAGAAGGTTGGCAAGGCGTTCCTGCTGGACTGTCAGCAAGTAGAGGCACGGTTCGTGCAGTACGCCGGGGCTGGGAGCGAGTGGGAGCTTCGGCACGCTCGCTTGGGACTCCCCAACAAGGAAGCGCTGGCCAATACACAGCGTTCCACGACCGGTATCCCGCCGGTGAAGAATGGGAACGGCTCTTTGTGCGGTGGATGCATGAAGGGAAAGCAGACGGTGACATCGTTCCCGTCGCGGTCGATGACGAAGACTACGCGTGTGTTAGAGCTGGTTCCCACGGACGTCATGGGGCCTATGAGAACGGCTTCGAAGGGTGGCGTTAAGTACGTGCTGCCGTTCATGGACGACTACTCGAGGTATGTCGTGGCGTATTTCTTGAAGAACAAGAGCGAAGTAGTCACCAAATTGAAAGCGTTCAAGGCGCTCCACAAAAAGCAATGGGGGGAACGCCTGAAGGGTTTGCGTTCCGACAATGGAACGGAGTTCGTGAATAAGACGGTCGCTGATATTTGCCAACGGAACGGCATCGTCCACCAGCGCACCATTCCATACAGCCCTCAGCAGAAAGGAGAGGCGGAGCGCATGAACCGGACTATCATGGAGAAGGCACGTACCATGCTACATTACAAGTCCATGTCGACAGAGTGGTGGGCGGAAGCAGTGAGTACGGCGGTGTATCTTATCAACCGTTCCACGAACACGGCGAACTTAGATGTCACGCCGTACGAGATGGCGTTCCAAACGAAACCTCGGATGGATCACTTGCGTGTGTTCGGTTTGCAAGGGTACGCTCACGTTGACGACGTGAAGCGAACGAAGCTCGAGCCCAAGGGTTGCAGGTGCACGTTTCTCGGGTACGCCGAGAACGTTAAAGAGTATCGTGTTTACGACTGGGACGCATCCAAGGTCAAGGTGTCGCGTTCCGTGAAACTGGACGAGCGTGAAATTGGAGGTATTTACGACACGCTGTTGCCAGCGCCCACAACGGATGTCCAGGTGGCTAAGAACGGAGATGAAGCTGGTGTCCCAACAGACGTGGAACGCCTAGCCGTTCCAGACGAACCTATGAAGAGGTGGAGGAACCTGTCCAAGACGTTGAAATGGACGAGTTAGAACCAGAACAGAGTGGAGCGCTTCAAGCGCTGCCTCCTCCAGCGGACCCAAAAACGGAGGGTTTGGAACTAACAGCGGACCACTCGCCGCCGGAGGCGTTCCTCGAGGAACGCCTGGTATTCCACCCTCATACGGAACGCTTAAGAAGATCGAGGGAGCCTGTGTTCCTACTTGAGAACGGTCCGAGCGATGATGAAGAGTACAAGTCGAACAGAAGTGACGGCCCGCCAACCTTGAAGCGTGCCAGGATCGACGAAGACAGCTTGATCGCTAAAGCCGTGTTGGCATATGCTTTCAGTATCGATGGCGTTCTAGATACGCCGAACTCGTTTCAAGAAGCGATGGCTAGTGCTGAAGCGGCGAAATGGCGTCAGGCAGTAAAAGAGGAGTTGCAGTCTCACGCTCGGAGCGGAACGTGGACTTTCGCTCCATGTGGAACGCCTGGACGCCCGATTGGATGTCGCGGGGTGTTCGCCAAGAAGCGTGACGAGCATGGACAAATTATCCAATACAAGGACGAGCTGAAGAACGCCTTTAGGATGATGAAACCTGGCGAGGACAAGGTCATTCTGGGTACGGAGATCAGTTACGAAATTCCAGATGGAACGCTCATGATCAAGCAGACAAGATGCATTGACGACGTTGTGGAACGCTTCAATCAGCGTAACGCCAAGGTGGCGGAAAACCCATGCCCGTCAAACTTGAAGCTATCGACGACCATGTCGCCGACGATCGAGTTGGAACGCTCCTAGATGAAGTTGAAAAC